GTCTAATTAAACTTTCATAGCTATAACAAGGTCAGACCCAAATGCCCTCGGTTTAGCTATCCATAAAGTTTTTCTTGCAGTTGGTAATTAAGTTCCTGTGGGACTAAAACTGTTCCAGTAGCAAACTACACAAGGTCAGACACAAATACATCTGAAGCAGTGTACAGTCCAGCCTGATCTCTTTTATTCTTTCAGCCTCAGTGGGATCCATTGTTTTCTTTGCTTTTTTTTTATTACTTGGCTGCATTTCCTACCCTGAGGTGGAGCCTACTAATGTAACGGGTTCTCTCCAACAGTAATTCCTTCCTGTTTATCTATTTGCATTTCCCACAAACCCTTCATACTACACACCCAAAATCACTGGGTTAAAATGTTCCCAGTTTAGTTCACTGTTTACACACTTTTCTGACAGGATCAGATATAATCTTCTCTGTAACCCACTGTTGAATTGTTGGATGTTGTGAGTAATATATCCCAGAAAGTTGATTCTGTTCATCTGGATGTTGTGTTTTTAGTGGGAGAAACATTTCGTCACTCATTCAAGTGACTTCTTCAGTCTCAGTTGACTGCAGGTTTCCCCAACCTAAACAGTACACTTGCATAATGACCAAAACTAGCATTACTGGCTAACAATGGGTCATGAACTCAGTCTCATAAACAGTAATATGCAAATTGTAAGGGCCAATGATCAAGGGCCATGAGTACCACTCACTGAGAGTTGGAGAATGGCTGCAGTCACAGCATTTTAAGATGGTGAAAGATGTACCCTTACTTTTACCCTGAGATTTGATTTTCACTCAGGTATCATACATCGTTGAACCAATGTGCTGAATCAGTGGTGTTCCAGGATAGGATAACAGAGCCCTCTCTTCCATTTCCTCTATATACAAATTGGTCACAGAGGGGGAAACTGGGGAACCAATTGCACACCCATGTTTCTGCCTGTAGTACTGGTCCTTGTGTGTGAAATATGTGGCATGAAGACACAGCAGACATACTTGGTTCATGCTGATCATGGTTCATGCTGTTTTTGGAAGTAAATCCCCTGTGGATAAGTTAATTTATTGGTCCTCTTGCTTGTCATCATTCCACACTGTAAGAAATCTTGTAGTGTTTTTAGATAGCTCTTTTAAATTAGAGAAGTGTCCACAATTGTGAAACCTGGACCTGGACACACTGGAATTCCCCTGGATAAGCTAAAGGAGGTCTGGGGTTCTCTGCTTAGGTTACCAGCCTCCATGACCCAGTTGCAGATAAGTGGAAGAAAATGTATGCATGACATAACTGTTTATATCAAATGTGCAGTATTTTTTGGTAATAGTTTAATAAAACAGCTAGATATTCTAACTTGAGGTCTATTATATCGCAAATGCAGAAAAAAAATGTTTAAGAAAGTAAATAAGCGGGTGTTCTAAAGGATATGAATGTTTGCCTGCAGGACACCTGGAGAGATGTATATATTTTTTTCTTTTTCTTGAGTCTTGAGCGATATTTTTGTAGTTTCCCATCATTCTTACCACACACACACACACACACACACACCTCATCTGTTTGGTTGCTGGATGTCGCTGGGTGATGACGTACATCCACGTTCCCGGTGCAGCTTGTCAACAAAAACCCAAAACAAATTGGCGGACGCATAAAGGTGCAGCTGAAGCGCTGAAGGTAGGACATTAATAGATGTGCTGTTCTCATATAGACGTGAAGGAGCACTTCTACCCTCGTGCTTGTGTTTACAAACAATCCGTGTCTCACTCTGAGCTGAGCTCGCT